GACTCGACGGCACTTAACAACAACAACAACATAACCTCGAGGGATAAATATTTCGTCTCCATTTTCACAGCTCAGGAAGTAGAGATTTGACACAATCACCTAACTTGCCCGAGCAACTAGCAGCAGCACAAGTCTTTCTGAAGCCAGAAGCCTTGTTATTTTCTGTGCACACCAGGCCTCCCCATTAGATGTCAGGATCTGCCATTACAAGCTTTAGTGATGAAACTGAAAGCAAATTGGAAAAATGCTGGAGATACAATTTAAGAAATAAAAGCAGATGCAAATGTGCATGTAGACTATTTACCTAACCCTGTAAGCGTAAGATTTATGCCTGTGGCCAAGGACTGAACTAGAACATGGCAAAGGAAAGCAGTTGATGGTTGGGGTGGTGGGATTGCTCCCCTGTTTTATTTCCCTTTCTGTTGGTATAAAGGACCCCTGGTGGCACAAGGGTTAAGCACTCAGCTGATAACCAAAATTTTGGCTGTTCAAACCTATGCAGCGGTTCTATGGCAGAAAGAATTGTCTCTCTGCTCCCATAAAGATAGTAGCCTAGAAAACCTGATGAGGCAGGTCTCCTTGTCACATGGGGACACCATGAATGAAAAATCCACTCAATGACCCCCAACAATGACACCATCTTAGTATAAGGTTATGCTACCAACAATTGGCTTTCTGTTTTTCACTGTCATGACACAGGAACACATAGTTGTTGTAGGAAAGTTAGAAGATAGGACTAAGAGAATGAGGCCACACACGATCTTATTGTTGCATTCGGTCACCATCACCCCTGTAGTAAAAATACGCTATTTTAGCAAAGTGGGCTTGAAGTGGCTGGATTCAGATTTTGAGGGGAAGTCAGGAGTGTGTGGAGGCCGTGAGCTGCCGTCCCCCACCCCGGGCTTCTGGGGCATCTATGGAACTCTGTGCACAAGGAGCCGTATGTACTGACGGTGCTTTGTTCCCACCCCCACCCCCCTTTCTCTAGAAAGCACATAAAGAGGTTGTGGGCAGGAAACAAGGACTTTCTTCCCTTGAAGTTCCGTAAGCCTTCCTCCTCAGACAGTGTGGTGAGTCTGCAGGGGCTGGCTCCATTCCCACATGCAGCAGTGCGACCCCGCTCTCCTGCACCAGGCAGCCAGTGCTGGGGGCCGAGCCGGCCTGGACGGCCGGGCTGCTCACTTCCAGTCCTGTCGGCTGCGGGGTGACCCAGGGCAAGCCCTGTTCGCCATTGGCCCTTGGGTTTCCTTGTCTGCTAAATGAGGCCCGTCACCCTACCTGCTTCCCTGGGCTGGTGGGCGAACGGCAGTGAGACAGGCGAGCTGGGCAGAAGTGTTAGAGAGGACGTAGCCTCGCTCCTCCCCAAGATCCCCTGGCCTTCCTCTTTTTTTGCTTCGGTTTTATTTTAAATGTTATTGGGGTGAAAACATTCTTAGTAAACCAATGCCATCTCAACGACGTCTGTATGGACAATCCAGTGGCGTTGATTACCCCCTTCAAGTTGTGGGACCACTCTTCCCCTCCTTTTCCGAATCTCAGTCCTCCACCACTAACATAACGTCCCTTTTCCTTTGAAATCTCAGGTGGCCATAGCAAGGTATTCTGGGTGGCAGATAGCCTATATCCTGTGGGGTAAGTGCCGGTACTGGACCCATCAGTCAGCACACAACCCCTGGGCACTTGCAGAGCCCTGGCTGCAGGTAGAGAGGAGGGAGCCAGACGCAGCCCTAGCCCCTGCCCTCAAGGGGCTGTCAGGACAGAGGGAAAAGCACACTTCAATAGCTCATCGTCCCTCTTGTCTTGAGTCCACGGACAGGGCCCTATGTGCCAGGGACAGTGGTGACCCAGAGGAGGTGCCTGCCCATGCCCAGAGCAGAGCTCAGACGCCTGCCAGAGTTGATATTAGCACTGTACTTGGCAGAGTGAGAAGATGGGCAGAGGAAGAACGGGGTGCCGGGCCAGGCAGAAGAAACACTTAAGCGAATATACCAGGGCGGGAGGCTACGTGGCCTGATGGGAGGGGATGGGGTAGTCAGCAGGGGAGCGTGCAGGGCTGGACCCTCGAGTGACCGCCGCTTCCTCCTCCCACAGGCTACCTCGTCATCCACGTGGTGCAGTGGCTGTGCGGCATGGCGGTCATGTACAGCCTGGTGCTTCCTGTGATCCATAACCAGGGCCCGGAGATGCTGCGGGGCCTGGGCATCGGGACGTGAGTGCTGGCGGCTGTCTGTCCTTGCCTAGGTCCTGGGAGCTGGGGGGTCCCTATAGCCACACTCCAGAAAGCACTCCTTTCCTGCTAAGTTCTCCCCAAACCCTGAGCCTGTGGTCTTGGTATGACCAGGAATGGTTTGTCATAGCAACTCACGGTAGGGAAGCTTATAGTTTACAAAATGCTTCCTCACCACCATTCCGTGGGATCCTCACATCCGTCTTTGAGAAGACACGTTTGTCCATTTCACCACTGGGAAAATCAAGGTGAGGAAGGTGACTGAGAGAGGACATGTGGTAGAAGGATTCAGGTAATCTGTGCTGGTTTTGGATCAGATACTGACTTGCTGTGTGATGTCAGATAAGTGGCTTCCCTTCTCTGAGCCTCAATTCACCCATATGGAAGATGAAAGTGACGGCTACCATCATTAAGCATTTACTGTACACCTGCTGTCTTAACAACCCTATGAGGGTGGTGCTACGTTAGCCTCCATTCAGAGACACAGAGAAGGGCAGCAATTGGTTTCAGGAAGAGGCAGGATGTGGAGGCAGGATGTGGAAGCAGGCAATCTGGCACCCAAGCCTGTGTTCTAACCACTTGAGAGATACACACGTAGGATGCCATGATCTCAGGGGCCCTCCGTACTCTGTGCTCCTCTGGTTCCAGACTTGCTTTGAGCCCCCTGGCTGTCCTGCCAGACTGTTGTGGCCTTCTCAAACCTCATTCCTTTCTTTGATTCCCAACTGTTAAACCACTGACCCTAGCTGCCATCCCAAATCAAAAAGGACATCAATTAAATCTTGGGATAGTGTCAGAAGACCTGATTGTGTGGCCTTGGGCAAGCACTCCCCTTGTGAGCGTCAGCTTTCTTGTCCGCACGGTGGGTGTGTGAGTGTGCTGTAAGCAGTGGTGTGCTGGTAAGCCTGTGTCACTGTGGGTCTGCTGGGAAGGCAGCCTTGTTCTTCTCCGTCACCAGGGGACCCAAGAAGGGCCTGGGGGAGCGTGGACGAGGGGTGACTTCAGGATGGCCCCACCCTGTGTTTCAGCCTCACCATATCCATCGTTGTGGGTCTCATGGTCCTGCAAGTGTGGATTGCCTCCAGCTTCTTCCTGCAGCCAAAGATGGGCCCAGCTGACAAGCAGAGGCCCTTGGCTCTCAACAACAGGTAAGGGGAAGGGGTAGGAATGGGGCATTGCCAGCCTTCTACCTCGGTGGTCTCTGCTCGTCCCCTCTCACCCTCTGCAAGTCCCTGGGTGGGCTCTCTGGGAGTGACTGCAGCACAGTGATTCAGCAGGCCAGCTGCCTGGGTCCAAATCCTGACTCCACCACTCACTAGCTGTGTGACTTTGGATGGCCTTACTGAACATCTAAGAACCTGTTTCCCCAATTTACAAATAACTGTCCATACATCAAAGAAGTGTCGTGAGGATGGCATGCATTAAATAGGACAAGTTCTTAGAACAATGGTGTCTGGCACAGTAACAACCAAACCCAAACCTGTGGCCACTGAGTCAGTTGCAAGCCATGGTGACCCGTGTGTCACAGGAGGGACTGCTCCATTGGGTTGCCTTGGCTGTCATTTTTATGCAAGGGGACTGTCAGGCCATTCTTCAGTGATGCTGCTGGGTGGTCCAAACTGCCAGCCTACAGGTTATCAGTGAAGTGCCACCCACGGTGCCACCTGTAGTCAGGAGGGGTGAGTCAATTGCAGATGGGGACACAAGAGGGGAGAGCAGTCGGGGAGGAGCATCTCTGTAGAAAGAGATGAGGGAACGACAAGCTGGCAGCTGCAACTATGGGATGGCGGCAGGAAGAGCAGAAGGGCAAGACGTCTCAGGAGGAGAGGGTGATCCAATATGGCGCTGGCAGTGGCCTTAGTGGGTAAAGGGCAGGGAGAGGGCACAGGTGACAAGGCCAGAAGGTCCCTGATCAGAAAGGGCCTGGAAAGTCAGCATGTGCAGACTTTATCCCGTAGCCAGTAGGGAACCATGAGATCAGGTGGTGATTTGGGAAGTTCACACTGGAAGGTGATGGGCCAGGCCCAGCTGGAGGCCAGTCACTGTTGAAACAGACACTGAGAAAGCCTGAACCTCAGCTAGAGACCAAACCAGCTGGAGCCACGGGAGATTTCTTAATCAGTAAACCCCCAAACTGAGCAGCATATGAGACAATTACAGTCACCACTCACGTTCGTCCTGCCCTCTGCTCAGTGCCCTGTCCCCTGCATCAGGACCAGCTCTCATGCCAGTACCATAGGGTAGGTGCAATCAGTGCCCACTCACAGCACACGGTCACAAAGCTAGGGGGGCAGAGACTCCAGGGCCCTCCTGACTCACCACCTTGCCTTACTGAAGCAGCACCACGCTTGGCCTGGCTCCTGTTTGCAGGAAAGCATTCCACAACTTCAACTACTTCCTGTTCTTCTACAATGTGCTGCTTGGCCTGGGCGCGTGCCTCTCCCGGCTGTTCATCAGCTGCGTCCTGGGCACGTGGCTGATCGCACGCATCGACAGGAGCATCATGCAGAACGGCTACGAGAGGGCGGACATGGGTAGGTGGCCGGCCCTAACGGCCCCGCCTCTGGGCAGGGCTGTTCTTGCCAACTGTGTGGAAGCCCCAGCTGCCTGGGAAGGTCTGAGTTCACACCCTGCCCTTATGCTCTGAGCACATCTTCCAGTCAAGGACGTAAGCTGAGTAACAAAACACCCACCACCAGGGGCTGGCCGGGGATTCGAGGTATTCTGCAGAGAAGTCCTGCCCATTTGACAGACCTCTGAGCTATAACTTGGAAGAAAGGTTGGGCGATCTACTTCCGTAGTGATACCGCCTCAGAAACCCAAGGAGGGGTCGCTGTGGGTCGGATGCCACTCGTCAGCAATTTGGTTTGGGTTTTGGTTTGGGGTATAACAG